AAATAATTTAAAAGGAACAAACAAACCAATATGATTGAGATGCCCATTGTAAATCGTTCTGTTGAAATTTATCAAATGGATGAGTGTATGATTGTTTAATTATCACCCTATTTCGCATCTCATTTGATGACATTTTTTGTTAGCAATGAATAAATATATGCCCCAAATGGTTGGTAATTACAATTTAATTATTACTTCAAATAAAGCTAATTTTTTTTTTTTTAAATTTTAATTTTAATTTCATAAAAATATGAAAATGCTTATGATAAGTTATGATAAGACGGAATGATTGAGGCATACATCAGTGTTTGCTTTCACTGGCTTTTCAATGATCAGTTGGGATCGTCGAAGAAGCTATTTTTATCCTTTCGGTACCATTCAATACATTATACATATGTCTGTGTGTGTGTGTATGTCTGTCTGTATGTGTCTGTATGTGTCTGTCTGTGTCTGTTTGTGTCTGTTTGTATGTTTATGTGTGTGTGTGTGTGTGTGTGTGTGTATGTGTCTGTGTGTGTGTGTGTGTATCTATAAATAACAGAAGTACTTTGTTTGTTACAGAAAAAAAAATTATTTCAAGAAGAAATTTAAAAAAGAAGTGTGATAGAAATAGATGTGAAAAAAGGGAGAGAGAAAGAAAGGCAGAGAAAAGGAAAAGAAAGAAAAATTAAAAAAAAGAAATGAAAAGTACAAAGGAAAGAGATATAAAATTTTACATAGTAATAATAATCAATAAACGCATTATTCACGATCAAATTTCTAATCGTTAAATCGAAATAAATAAGTATTCATTCGGTTCATTTGAAATGGAAAGAATTGAAATACGAGTATTTCTATTATTTTTCGATATATGTATATGTATTTCATCATTCATTTATATTATTTATTCAGTTAGCATATGTACTTGAAGTTGTTGAATAAAATTATAAAAAACCACGGAATTGGTTTTTTTTTTTCCAACCGGAAAACATTAGCCAAGATTAGTTGTAATTGAATATGAATAAAAATTATTAACAAATTTAATGATATGTTTTCTTTTTAGAAAAGAAAAGTTGTAATTAATTAATTAACAAATGGAAAGGATTTATTTCTTGTTAACTTAGCTATTATTGTATACAAAGTGGAAATAGATGAATTACGATAATGGAGATAAGGTCCTTTTAGCACTGATAACTTATGCAAGGTTGTTTTACCTCTCGGATATTTATTATTACTAAAGACAGTTTAATTCGAATTATTTTGCAAATATATTTAAAATTTAAAGATTGAAAAACAAATAAACGGATAGTTATCCTCAATAATGAACTGTAAAATTCCGGGTAGATCTGTTATATACATAATGGTTCGAGATTATCGGTGAATAAGTAAGTAATACGAGAAGTGATATGCGATCAACGAAAGAAAATTACTTAAAAATAATTTTAATTTTAAGAATATATAAAAAACTTGCTTGTAAATGGGATATGACCATGTGCGAACGCTGAAAACATCATATTTCCGTATGGGTAACTGCTCCTGATAGTAGTTGATATTGGTATGATAAGGCATGGTGATAATACCAAGTGAAGTGCGTGCTCGATATGACGTACGTGGTAATCGATTATCTTCGATTACCTTAAAATAAAGTAACCTTAAAATTCAATTATTGCAAGAATTTTCTATACAAAAATTAATATCAATAATGAAAATATCATGTTTTTATTACGTTTTATTATTCATTTCATCTATTACGCTTTTTTTTTTCATTAGTTCAGAAAAAATTTTTCTCACTTTTTAACATTTTAAAAATAATTTTAACATCTTAAAATATGAAATATTAGAGAGGAGAGTTTGAATTGGTTATTTTCATTAGATGTATATTATTATAAAAAGTAATATAAAAATAAATTTAAGAATGTGAAATAAAATAAAAGACTCAAGAATTTGTTGACATTTCGACTGCTAATCAAACTTGAAAATCTATCAGTAACAAAAATGGATTTCCAAGTTTGAATAGCAAGCAAATATGTCGTATTCTCCAGTTTTTTTTTTTTTAAATTTCCTACAATTTGAAAATTAAATTGAAAAGTTATTGAATAGAATGTAATTGATTTTAGAAATTAAAACTTTTGTCTCCATAAATATATTAGGATTTATACTTCATAATAGATATCTTACTCAGTTCTTGAATTATTCTTTATTTTGGTATTTACAATGTCAGGAAGTAAAATTCTGGATCCGGAAATTAGTCATGCAACAAAGTATAATGCTTAAAAATCATTGATATATAATTGCTTGTTTTAAGTGATTTAAGCAAATTTTTTTATTGCAAACAATTTTCGAACTTGAAAAAAGGGAACAAAAGAATTTGTGTGTCAATTTTGCTTTTTTTTTTTAAGATTTATGATTCATTTTGGAATTATCGCATTTTTTGAAATCCTATTTTCATGCATAACTATTCCGGTAAACAAACTGAATTTACGGTGTGAGGATGAAATTATACCTTATATGAGCCAATTTCACGCACTGGTGTGTATGACCGTCGAATATTACGCTCATAACGTTGTTGAGAATCTCTTGGTGTGGTCTCACGTGACCATCGTCCGAGATAACTCTCCCTGAAATTAGTGAAATTTTAGATGAAAATACATTATTTAATAATATATACTTTTTTTAGCAGTAAAATTTTCAAAATTATTGAAGATATTTTTTTTTACTTAGTAAAGCTTCATGCAAGCTACTATAAAATAACTTTTAAAATAAAGTTTTTTACTACCATTGCTACATGCTTTCTACACAACCTAGTTCATGTAGACATGCAAATTAACTTTTGAGAAAGAATGCAACAAATTATGGCATCAGAAAATTTGAGATAATCATACTGCTCATTCAAAAAAGAAAAAAAAAACATAAAAAGTAAGCAGATAAAAAATTATCTTTTTTTCTTAAAAATAAATTGAATTATTATTAAAACAAAAAAATTATGAAAATTTAAAATGAACCTTGGAATTAAACTGAGATCAAGCGATCGTGATCGCTTGATAAAATAATTCATTATTGTTTGACTTAATCAGTCACTATAAATAATAATTAGTAATTGAAAATAAATTCGTTCGATGAATTACGGCCTTAAATAATGCATGAAAATATCGTAAATTTTGTTATCAGCTGAAATTACATAACACATAAACAGTGAATTTCTTATCACATATATCAATCATATAATTTTCAATTATTAAAAATGTTAAAAGAATTTTTATTGCTGTAATACCTAAAAAATATCTCAGGGAAAAAGTGAAAAAAAGCGAAAATGAAAGTTATTTGGAAAGGATAAATGAAATAAAGTTCACCCATTACTTTAACATTTCAAAAGTGGAAATAAATTTTGCCCAAAAAGATGTAAATTAATGTCGAGATTTATTTAGGTAAAAAAAGCAAAAGTATTAATAGAATTCATTTTAAGACAATAAAATGATATAAATAATAAAAATTAAAATTTTTTGTTTAAAATATCTAACAAGATTGAAATAATGAATGATTAAATTGTGGAAAAATATATGATCAAAAAATGTTTCAATCGTTTTGATTTTTCCAAAAATTAAAAATTTGAATAATATCTTTACAGATTTTGCTTTGGGTCTCGATATTAATTTCAAATTTTTAACAAAGTTTGTTAAAGCCGATTAAAATTTTCGACAATCTATAATATTAACAATTAAGCCACGAAAAGTATTGGAGTGTTAAAATTAAAGCAATAAGAAATCTCAATTTTTTGTGAAATAAAAATTTCTTACAAAATAAAATGAAAAATGTTGTCGCGATTGTGTAACAAAATAATTATGTTCTGGTAGACGATAATTTTAATGGAAAATTTAATAGTTTAAAGCAAAAATCAAAAATAACTGATAACAATTCAACGAAAAGTTGCACAAAGCGAATATCATAAAACGGATAGTGAAATTGTTTGAATTGTCCTTTGTTATGAAAAGTTTGTAATTTCAATTAGTGAAAATAATATGCATTGTCAGCCAAAATAATTAAGCATAGATGTAAAGTAAAAAGTGGTGAAATCTGTCGTAATATTTGACGTCTAAAAGTTTCGAGGATAAATTATTGGTACAATTAAAAACGTCAAATAAACAATTTAATTTATCAAAATATCCGATAATAATCTATCATTTTTCCAAGAGCAAAACATTGAATGTCACATTCAACGTGTTACGTATTCGAATTAAAGCAAATTGTTCTGACGTGTAATTTACGTTACAAAAGAAACACACAATACGATTAGCAATACTAAACAACATTAAGAAATGCTTGCTATAAGAGAAAAGAGCAAAAAAAAAATTAGCAAAATGTCATATTTACGTTTTGTTAGCATTTGCTTTGCTTTACTTTACTTCTTTACAAGATAAATTTTTCAATATTTTCAACAACCAATTTCTTTGCTTTTCAAAAAAAAAAAAAAATTTTTGAATTCTTTGAATAGAATGAATGGCAGAATCATTGATAAAACTGTTTAATTTGATAAAAAAGTTCGAGAGCTTTTTTAATCCAAAAATTGTTCCTCAAAGTTTCTAAAAAAATGGAAAATTATTCAAATTTGAAAAATTTAAAACTATTCGCAATCAGCAAAATTTTTTAATGATTGCACTTCAAATTATGTTTATAAATATACACATTTGAAATAAAACTTCAGTTATAGCAATTTGATATGTTTTCTTGCTTAAACAGATTGATAGAAAACTTCAAAGACTCCACATTTTTTTCATTCTTCATTGATTTGAGATGTTATTGCAAAGATAAAAATAAAATCCAAAAACTGTTAAATTTCAAATTAAAATAATAAGTAAAACAAAAAGGAAAAAAATTTCGAAAAATGCAGTGAAGAAATCAAATGATTTGGAAAATTATGATTAATAAATTTCAGATAAGACGCTAAAAAACGATCAATGGGTTTTACCAAATCAATTATGAAAACACAAATACTCAGGTGATAATAATTAACTG